TAAGTCCTAAGTCTTTAATCAACAATCAAAATAAAAGAAGATAAGAAAAAAATTAAGTTACCTTTTTTCTTTAAAATTTTTATAGAATAATGTTGATATTTGTGTTTGCGAAAATCTGAGTGAGAGAGATGAGAGTATGCAAAAGAGAGATGAAAAAAAAGAGAGAAGAAGAAGACTTGATAAGCTTGGTTAAGTTGATTTGAGGGAGGGCTAAAGGGTTGAGGCGAGGCAATGACGTGAAGAATAGGGAAAATTTTGGGGAAATTTGGGGGGTGTTTGAGTGTGCATCAAAGAATGGGTCAGGGGCTAGGGCTGCTGAGATAGAAATTGGTGGGGTAGGATCAAGTAGGGTGGGGTGCATTGGGAGGTAAGGTGGGTAGATTTTATTTAAGGGGGGGGGGTGTTGCTGAGATATAAATGGGGTGGGATGGGATCGGGTAAGGTGAGGTACATTAAGAGGTAAGGTGGGGTGGGTAGATTTTATTTAATTTTATAATTAATTTTATTAAAATATAAATTTAAAAATTTGTAATTTTTAAAATATTTTTAGATCAAATTTAGTTAGAGAGATTGAGATTTCATAATTAAAAAAAATAAGAGATTAATAATTTAATATGATATATATAAAAATTTTAAAAATCATTAAATAAGAGTTTTTATGATTATAATTATAATTATCACATTTTATAATAAATTGTGTAAAATTAAAAAAAATTCACGATCACGATGATCTTGATGACCACAATGATCTTCGTTATATTCGAAAACTCGATAAATGTGATGCAACCGAAAACGTACCCCACAATCGCTATTTAAATCTTTGCCTTCATCAAATCTGTGGTCAATGTCTCCTTGGCAACATTGTGAGCTATGTTCTTTGATAGTGTTAGTTGAATGACTCCAACACCCATCTGTCAAGGAGCTTACAATCTTCGTATGACATATTTTTTGATTTCATGCCTAGAAGTGATAAACACAACTTTCCATTGAATAGATAATCTTCCATTTGCATTTTCCAAAAAGAATGTTCCATCAAATTTGTTGATTCTATATGTTATAGCTTCTTCGCTAGCCATTGCTTTTAATCATGAAATTACGAAAATTGTCCCACTAGGTAGGTTCCTAAGAAAGATTGAAAGGCTTAAAATCAATCTTACTATTCTCATTAGACAAATATCTTAAAATCGTATTTATCTACATCACTAAATTTTCATATACATGAGCAGTAGCGTATACATAAACAGTGCTATATACTTGAACAATGCCACCTAACAAACTTCAATCTTCTTTAATACCAGTTGTTGGAAATTAAAAGCTTGACTTGCAAGCCAAAAATGATAACATATATTATTAGAAGATATGGAAACAAATTCAATTTTCATTTATTATTGAAGATGGAAGTTGATTGTTGTAAATCATTAATTGTAAATTGTTAGTAGAAGTTAAGTGATAATTGACTAATAGAAGTTGTAATTAATAAAAGCCTTGAACTCCATCTATAAAAGAGGACCTTGGCTTGTGCTTTTATGTGCAAGCATTAAATGAGAAAGTGAAAAGTAAGAGAAAAAGAAAATAAAGAGTTAGAGAGCTAGTGAAAATATAAGAAGTAAAAGATATTTCTTCTCTTTTGTAATTTTCCATACTTATCATAATAAAATTTCTACAATAGTTTTAAAAGTGGACGTAACTCTTGTATTGAGAGTGAACCACTATAAATCTTTTTATATTTTTTGTACAATATTTTAAATTTTTGTATATATATTAAAGCTTCCAGTTTGTGAGACAAGCTCTTAATTCTCAACAAAGCAAAGAATTTTCAAAAGGATAATCAGGGTTTCCTTTATACACTGCTTTAGAACCATCCTTTCACACAGAACATGATTAGTCATAAAATTTATTGATGCAACTCCTGCAAAGTATCAGCGACGTCAATGACAATGATACTACATACCATAGTAAGCCGTCTAAATGTTCCCCTAAAGTGTGAATGGTGACCAGTATAGTGGAGTCTTGAAGCCCTTCTTTTCTTTGCTTCCTCTTCCATGATGGACTTGAGACCATCAATGAAAGCCTTGGCATCTGCACCCTCCTATAATACAGAATTCAATAGAAACAAGTAAGCATGTGGAATTGTGAATTGCATTAATAAACTGAACAATCAGATGAAATTAGACAAAAATAAAGGGAAACAAACATCAGAACATTTCAAATGAGCTTTGGAAAGCAACTCCAGTTCTTGCCCTATAAATATGTAATGAAAAATTTCTAATAGAAGCAAGTTATCATGTTGAAGATAGCTACGAGAACCACCACTCTGCTGAGTTTTAACTATAATTAAATCCATTACATTCTCACAGAACAAAAATTCAAGAAATCTGTCTTCCCAATGATAAAAAAATTGGCCAGCCTTTTGTAAGGATGACATATCTTGGATGGCAAGAATGTTGTGAAATAAGGTGACTACCAGCTGGAGCAATTTCTAGTCATCTTCTTTGAATACTTCACTGAAATTTAAAGGGTTAACCATTAACGCTGATATCAACACAACAGCTAACGATCTAATCTAATGGCACAATTGCTTTACATGTACATGAAAAAAATGACCGTCCTGTATCACAGCATCTAACAGCTTAGCTAGACCTTTGTTTCTGAAGGTTTCAAAACAGTTGAACTCATTCATTTTTGGTAACCAACATTTTAGGTTGGTTTGCGAACAACATCTAATTTCTTTTCCTTTTTCCTGCACCTTAACTTAGCAATTAAAGGGTCCATTTCTTGCTTACCATTCCAAATTTTCAAAGGGACCTTCAAGAAGGGAAACTGTAACTGCAACACCTTCACTGCTCGTGAGAGAAACCTTCATATTCCAAAGATACTTTATCTGTTGAAGGATATCACTGGAGGAAAGCTCGATAGGCATTGAAAGAAAAACTAAAGCTTTCACTGAAGAATTCAAAGCAGAAGGATAACAATACCAAGCAAGTAGCATTTACTACGCTTTTTTTTTTAAATGACCGAAAAACCCTAACATCAAAACTTTACCAACCTGCATTTAACACCAAATAATGTTGCCAGTGTTCAATAATTGGAATAAAGTTTTTTGAAACAATATTCCACCTGCAAACTTGCTTAAATACTTCACGCCTTTGTGGATCGTCCATTCTTAAAAACCTCAGTAAATCCTTCAATGCATCTTCAAGTAAGTTATTTGAAATAAGATTATTCAAATCAGAATACATAAATTAAACAAAAATTCACTTCAATAGGGGCAAATGATACCTAGACAGTGATCGCCCTAACTGCCTCGTTATCTAGTCTTCCTCGAGGATGTCAAGACTGGCGCAGATCCCTGATAAGCCCTCCATGTCCATTTTTCTCTTTCGAATTGGGGGTTTGAGAAGAAACTATTAGGGGCTAGGGTTTTGGGTGATGGAGGAATCAGATCAGAAGAAATTTGGAAGGATGATGAGACCTAAAAAAATTTTTGCGAGAGAGGTGCGAAGGTGAACATGGTTGAAGAAAAAGGTTCATGTTACTGTTGGAAGATTGGCCGATTAGGGCTCTTGTGGTGCCAACTGTAATACGAGATTTCCTGCGCTTTTGAATGTATCCGAAGATGGGATCAGGTGCTGTAGGGTATAATGAGGCTCGAGCATACAAGAGACGTGGAAGAATATGGTCAGTGGATTAACATCAACAACGAGGAAATAAAAAAGAAAAGCCCTAGCCTTCTTCTGGTCCTGATTCCTGGGCCTCCTATTAGGTCCATTAAATAGATTAGATTACGTCGTTTTACAGACCCATTAGGCCCTTTAAGATATAACAAAGAGAATCCATAGCCTTCTTCTAATCATGAACCGCCCATTAAGTCCGTTATATGGAATAGATTACTTCGATTTAAAGGCCCATTAGGCCCGTTAAGGCATATAAATTTCTGACCTACCTCTATAATTTATAATATATACGTATAAAAGCATGGATGTGAAAAAAAAAAATTAAATGACAAAAATGGATATTGTTATTCATTTAAATTGTTATTTTAAATAATTTATATATTTTTATTATTATTACAATTTATTTAATAATAATGGTTAATAAATTTTAGCAAACTGACTCACATATAAATCAATCTATTAAACTATCCTAATCAACTTTATCAAATTTCTAATATTGTTGTAGCAAAATTTTCACCAACCTATTATGTTGGGATAATTAACTTTATCAAAGAGATTCGTTAATTTTTCTATTTATTTTAATAATTATAAAATTTATTCAAAAGTAACAAGATTAGTTAATTTTTATATTTATTTTAACAATTATGTTTTGTTTATCACTTTATTTTTTTATTTGTGATCAATTTTATTTGCATTGTTTTTTTTTTAAATGGTTGATTAATATAAGTGTATGGATTTTATTTTAAAAAATATTTATCCGTAATATATTATTAATAGTACTATTTATTCATTTAACTCAATTACAATCATAACTTAAAAATTAAATTGCATTTATACGCAAGCTAAACAATAAAAAATTTCACCCTTTAACTTTGCAGACCTTACGTGTTCAAGTTCTGTTACAATTCTAAGATATGCTCATTTTTAATTTATTAAAGAACACAAAAGTAATAAGTTCAAAACTAACATGCCTTAATTTGTTTAAAAACAAAATAATTTTTATGTGTTTTATTATAATAGTAAAACAAGAGCTCCATGAATTTTTTTTTATTTTTTGATTATTTGCCAACTGTGATTATTATTAAAACTACAAAGTTAATAATTTTTTACGAAGTAAAATATTCAATGAAATAAAATGGAATTTTAAAAAGAAAAAAATTTTGAATTCGATTTTTCCCTTTCAAAGTCATAATCTATGCGGAATTTCGGAACGGAATTCTAAAAGCGACAAGCCGAACGACGTCGTCTCACATCAAAGGGTTCAATCCAACTCCTGCCGACGTCGTATTTTCCTTGACAATAACAAATTGTCAAATTCCCAACCGTTTTGAAAAAAATAGTTAAAGGAGATGAATAAAAACCTCCGTACTATTGTCGATGCAATCTATGCTCTCTTCATTTCCATTTCCCAGCCTCCTTTTAAGTCTGTGTTTTCAGCTTGCTCCAAAATTAGCGGCGATTTCTCCAACATCCATTTTCTTTCTTAATAGTCAATAAAAATCCCACACCTTTCATCGTCTTCCTCTCCTTTTACACGTTTTCGTTTTCTCTCTCTCTCTCTCTCTCTGCCTCTCTCGTTTTAGCAATGGCTCAAGTGGTGGCCACTAGATCGATCCACGGTTCATTCTTGAGCCAGGGCCCCGGATCCAGTCAAGAGCGAGTGGAGAAGCTTAAGCCAGCGACCTTCGCTTCGAAAGTGCTGGCACGTGGTGACAAGAAGAGCGAGAGAATGGTGCTTAGGTGTAGCTCTCGGATTACAGCTAAGAGCCCCGCACGTGCCGAGCCTGAAGTTATTCCCGTATCATCCGAGGATGTACCGAAGGTTTGTGCCGACTTAGAACCTTTCTGATCGTCCTCTTTTCTTATGTGTTTGATTACTGATAAAGCATGCGAAAAGAAAAAAAAAAATTGACCTTCTTAAAATCTTAGTTAATGTTTCTGGATTAAGTCAGGAACTAAGAAAGCAATAGGCTGAAAATCGTTTAGGTCATAAGTGGAGTGATAAGATGGATTGCAGGCTATTGAGGTTTTCATGTGAGTGGGTTCACTTATGTATCTCATATCAGCTAAAAAGTGGAAAGTGGGATATACATGGAATCTTCCAAGAAACCAATAGAGAATAACTTAAGTTTTTAGGTTCAAGTGGTGTTCAACATGTATATATGTACTTAAGGTTTGGCTCATTTCCCAGCAAGTGTAATTAGAGCCGAAGGATTGACTTGGATGTGGCAAGTATGGTGGTGGTATCAAAGCCAAAGGTTTGAATTGGATGCGGCAAGTATGGTGATGTATTATTTCTGAACAAACAACAAGGTGGTGTGTTGAGACAACCTATGGTCGAGTGCAAGCTTAAAGGGCACTGAGACAACCTAGACTCACAGGTGATCTAAGGTTGCACTAACACAATCAGACGCACTAGAGATGCGAGGATGAGTGTTGGGCCTAAGGGTGCATTGACAGCTTACTTGCATGGGGAGCTGATCACAACTCACAAGTAAATGGGAGGGACAGTTGAGGTTCACATGCGAGTGTGACACATCTCACATCAATAAAAAGTGGGATGTAAGGTGACATATATACATGGAAGATCCAAGAACCAAATAGCTTAGGCTTTTGGGTTGAAGTGGTGTCCTACATGTATGTATGGGCTCCTTTGGTGTGCTCCTAACTCAAGGTTTGCCTCATCTCCCCAATATAGTCAAGTTGAATAAGGTTCTATTTGGTTTGTTGAAAATCCATTTTCCTATTATCGAAATTTGTACCATCCACAGATAGAAATGTGGATTTTTTTTTTTTCTGAAATGGGGAAATCTGCTAGCCACTATGTACTATGTACTATAGATACTTTACTGAGACTGTTGAGACTGTTACATTTACTAACAAGAAACCAAATCATGAGAAAAACTGAGGACTCAAGTCAAAATTTCCAGTGAGATCTTGTTACAAGTCAGTTTTTGGTATACTGTGGGTTATATACCTATCTTTGTGCTAAAGGAATTATTTAAAATATCAATTACATAAAAGATGAATGAAAGGGGCATGATATCCACCCATTTCCACTTTTCCAGCAAAAGAAAAGTAGCCTTGAAGTTTATAACATCCTAATTTTTTTGGTTAGAATGATGAAGTCTGAATTACATGTTGTAGTTCAGAAATTCAAGTTTTTTTTTCTTATTTACTCTGGTATAGGATGAGCCTTTGCTGTTGCATGACGTAGTCACTATGTTTTTATTGTTATTATATCTGTAATCAAATAACTTATTGTGGACAGTTGCTGAGAGAAATTTGTTGGAATCATTATTTGTAACCTTTCTTACCATTTTTTCCTTCAGAGGGGGAAGCAGTATGAGCAGTTAAGGGAGATTCAACAATTAGGCGACACATCAGTGGGTATGTGGTCCAAGCCTATTGTTAGACGTAAAACAAAGATTGTTGGCACTATTGGCCCTTCAACAAACACGCGAGAAATGATATGGAAATTGGCCGAGGCTGGAATGAACGTTGCTCGTTTGAATATGTCTCATGGAGACCATGCATCTCATCAGAAAGTTATTGATTTAGTTAAGGAGTATAATGCACAATCCAAAGACAACACTCTGGCAATCATGCTTGACACCAAGGCAAGTTTCCCTTGATTTCATTTATTTACTGTGTAAAGCCGTTATGTCTGGTTGCCTTAGTCAATGAGTTTGGTATTGTGAGAGTTAGACACGGCATGAATCTTTCTTTTCCAAAATTATTGTCAGGACTTTGTCCTCTTAAATAATGCCCTTATCATAGACTTAAATGAACTTGCCAAAATTTTTCTTGGATTTTGAACAGGCTCTGTTATGGTTTTAACCATAGCAGTCTATTCTGGAGTAAGCCTAGCAAGCATGTACAAGTGACAGTATATTTGTCAGCTTCTGTTTTGGGCAATTAAATGAGGGAGGTTGTAATATAAAATACATCTGTTCATGCATGTGCATATAGTTTTTGCCTCCGTTTATTTGTTATCCTTGTGAGGTTATGAGCAATTAAATTTAGTATCTCACAATTGTACAAGGTTGTAAAGTATATTGTTGCTAATATAATGAAGTCATCCAGATTTATAATTGGTCGGATATAGTGTTGTAGGCAACAATAATATAACTCATGTTATGTAATTTTCTTGCGATAGTTCTAATCCTTTTCATTTATTGTGTTCTTATGAATATTTGGTTCTGTTTATAAGGGTCCTGAGGTTAGGAGTGGCGACTTGCCCCAACCAATTACATTAACAACTGGGCAAGAATTTACTTTTACAATTCGGAGAGGGATTGGGACACCTGATTGTGTTAGTGTCAACTATGACGATTTCGTTAATGATGTAGAAGTGGGCGACATGCTTCTTGTTGATGGTATGCTACCTTGATACTTTCAACAGACTGTTAAACTATGCAGGTTTTTTTAACTTTTTGATGTTTTATATATTGCTTAATCTTAGTCCCCCCTCTCCCATGAAACCAGCAGCCAGCATGCATGAGCAAAGTCATATCGAACTTTTCAAGAATAATGTAGATCAGTTCTAGACTGATACTCGTCTTTTCCCTTTAGTCTGAAAATATGATATGCTTTTAGTATTATGATACAATTAGCAAGAGCCTAAGACTGCAAATATGTAATCTGGTCCTTGGGAGCATTTGCTGAAGAAAGAATTTAATGATCTAGAAATGAATTAGAAGGTTTTCACCTCATCTGTCAAGTTCTTAATAATTTAGCTAGGGGCTTGTTGATAGTGTTGTCAGGCATGTCTTCTACCTAAACATATACATGAGAACGGAATACAATCTTATGCCTATGCAAATGCACTTCAATCCATTTTGGGTCTTTGTCTAAGTCATAAATGAAATCTTCAGCATTATGGGGGAATTTTGTTGATTCTATTGGCTGAGTAAAAGTACATTGTAGACTTTTTCCTTTTGTTGATTATATGTTCCTCTGACTTTTGGTTCATGATATAGGTGGCATGATGTCATTGATGGTGAAGTCTAAGACAGAAGATTCAGTGAAGTGTGAAGTAGTTGATGGTGGTGAGCTTAAGTCTAGGCGGCATTTAAATGTCCGAGGAAAAAGTGCTACACTGCCTTCTATAACTGGTTGGTCCTTGAATTTTAATTGTTGTCATTTCTATTACTTTGTAGATTTTCCACTTGCCTCGCCTTTTCCTTTCTCTCTTTTTTTTCCTCACTCTCTCCCTTTTGAGTTGAGGGATCTTGGGCAGCAGCAGATTAACTATTTCAGTTGGTTTTCTGCAGAAAAGGACTGGGATGACATAAAATTTGGGGTAGACAATAAAGTTGATTTTTATGCTGTTTCCTTTGTTAAAGATGCACAAGTAGTTCATGAGTTGAAGAATTATCTGCAGAGTAAGTTACCATTTTTCTTCTTATAGTATTTTCAGGAAATAACAACTGTGGACTTGGTATAAGGTTTAAATTCTTCACCAATGAGTTTTTTTTCTTTGCTTTTGGCAGGTTGTGATGCAGATATTCATGTTATTGTTAAAATTGAAAGTGCTGACTCTATTCCAAATTTACATTCAATCATAACAGCATCTGATGGGGTGATCACTTAAATCTTTTCATTGGATCTTTAAGGCAGCTAAATTTTACAGTTATTATTTTATGCAATAAAGGTGTAGTTTTTTCAAACTATTTCATACTCTGAGCTCTATCTTTGCTGAAGAAAAAAGTTCTTCAAATTTTTAGGAAATTGGTGCTACAATATTGTGAGGCTTTTCATTTCAAATATTAAGTACCATCTGGTGGATTTTGCTGTTACTTCTATTTACTATTTTCTATGCTGTAATGGGGAGGGTGGTGGAAGTCTGGACGATAACGTGATTTGAAAGTAAAATTTAGTTATTGCCACTTTAGCAATATATGTGCTGTGGAAAGTAATTCAGGTTCTCATATTTTAGGCAATGGTTGCAAGAGGAGATCTTGGTGCAGAGCTTCCCATCGAGGAGGTTCCTCTTTTGCAGGTTGGTTTAGTTTTCAATTGAACGGTAAAGACTGGATTTACATGAATTATCAAACATATTTTCTTAACTAGTAAAGAAATGAAAATTGTGTTTATTCGGCCACTAAAAACTCTACTTTTTTTAAAATGTAGGAAGAGATAATTAGAACATGTCGAAGCATGGGAAAAGCTGTTATTGTGGCAACCAATATGCTTGAAAGCATGATTGTTCATCCAACACCAACAAGAGCAGAGGTATCTGACATTGCCATTGCCGTTCGAGAGGGTGCTGATGCTGTCATGCTTTCTGGGGAAACAGCACATGGAAAGTAAGTTAATAAGTTACTTACATGGCGTTTTAGAATTTTATTCTAATTTATGCCTTGTCATTCCCCTTTTACTTATTTGGAAAGTCATCCTTGTTAAATTTTCTATTAAAATTAAAATTAGGTAAGGATTTCATTTTGTCTTATGCTAATAAATAATGATCTATATTGGAGTAATGGTTTAATTTGGAAATTTACCTTGAGGTAATCTGACAGGTTTATATGGATATTCTTGGATCCTAGTTGGTGAAGTTAGAAGAATATGGTCATTACTTATACTTAAAAATCAATTTAGCTAATTTCCTTGGGACATACAATTGGAATGTCGTATCTGCCAGCTCGCTTTACCTTTGCTCTTGAGCAATTTATTGTATGAACACTTTATGCAAATTACTCTACCTACGTGCACTCTAGTTAATAGATTTCACTCTCTTGCAGGTTCCCATTGAAAGCTGTTAAAGTGATGCATACAGTTGCACTACGAACTGAAGCAACCATATCTGTTGGTGAAATGCCACCTAATCTTGGTCAAGCATTTAAGGTCACTTAACATGCTTCATGCACTTTCCATATGCTTTATGACTCCCTTTTTTTTCTTTGTTTTTTGGTCAACATTCTTAATGCTTTGTTTTTCTTTGTCAAATATCAATACTGACTGGAGTTACTTTCTCTGTAGAACCATACGAGTGAGATGTTTGCATATCATGCAACTATGATGTCAAATACTCTTGGAATCTCCACTGTTGTCTTCACTAGAACTGGTTTCATGGCTATATTACTTAGCCATTATCGTCCTTCTGGCACTATTTTTGCCTTCACAAATGAGTGAGTTTCACCCATTCCTGAATCTCATATTTGTTACTGTGTATTTGCTTTAAAGCCTCCTCCCTTCTGTTTCTTTTTTTTTTTTTTGGGGGGGGGGGGGGGGGTGGGGTGGAGGGGGTTGGGAGCCAGGTTTTAGCTTTCTGTCTGATTTGTCTTGTACTATGGCATAATAATGGTCTAACCCATTGGAGGTTTGGCTTGATGAAGAAATATTAATCCCAAAAGGTAGTAGGATGACAGTATCTATGAACTCAGAAGTGCAATATTTGACCAAGAGTGTATGGCTGAAAATGAGTATCTACCATTGCTGGGCTTTATGATCTTGAAAATTTGACTGAAAATGACTTTAATGGTCATGCAGGAAAAAGATACAACAGAGGTTGGCTTTGTATCAAGGAGTATGTCCCATATACATGGAGTTCTCAGATGATGCGGAGGAAACTTTTAAGACTGCTTTAGCTTTGCTGCAGGTAAGGTTTTACTGGAGAATTCATTATGAAAATTCCCTTTAATTGGCTGGTAACTATGGATGTAGTTATTCATGCATCAGTTGGTTTATAGTTATTTTGGACCAAACTTCAAGTAGTTGTTTAGAGGTATCCAGCTGAAGATTAAAATGTGTAAATAGTTCAAAACCTGCATGCATTATTTTGATACTGAGGTGCCTTGATGCTTGGGGGATTTTGGGTTAAAAAATTCAACCTAGTTTGGATCCATTTTTGAGTGGGACCGGCATTGACCTTCAACATAGTTTTCTGCTCATTTGTTGTAATTGGTATATTTCTTGGTTTCCATGATTGGGATTTTCCATGATAACCAATTTTGAAATGCTTACATAAAGGGCATTCAGATAGATGATGACCTTTACCGTGATGAGCAATAACTTTGGAGAGCAACATAAGTACAATTCTCATCTGTCATTATCATGAGTCCTAATATTCAGAATACCGGTAGTGATGTCTGTGGAGTCTGGTTCATTTGATCATAATGCACCTTGTTGCTTTTCTACCACTGTTTTATTGCAAAAAGATTGATTATTGATATAGTGTGCTGAACTACTGTGTGCTTGTTTCATGATGAATTCTATGGCTGATGTACAGAAGCAAGGAATGGTGAAGGAGGGAGAAGAGGTGGCACTTGTTCAGAGTGGTAGACAGCCTATATGGCGATTCCAGTCCACTCACAATATTCAGGTCTGCAAAGTGTAGTGGCTGAAGAAAGATGGAGATCCATTTGACTGAGTTATTCAGATTAGGTTTGGGAGCTTCCCTCACGTCATGTGATTGATTTTTGGCTTGCATCATATCTATGCCTGTATGTCTTATTATTCTGCGTTTTTTTTGTTTGCTTGAGATTTCCTGGTATATGCTTCTATTTGTGGCTCATTAGTTTTCCCCCTAAACAAGACCTGGTGTGAATGGGGATACTTTAAACGATTCTATTTTTGTATTCAAGATTGTCTCGGTACAAAATATGAGCCTAGGCTGATATAAATGTGCTTGAGTATATGCTTCTATTTGTGGCTCATTAGATTTCCCCCTAAACAAGACCTGGTGTGAATGGGGATACTTTAAACGATTCTATTTTTGTATTCAAGATTGTCTCAGTACAAAATATGAGCCTAGGCTGATATAAATGTGCTTGAGCTTCTTTCTTATCCAAAGGAATGTGATCATTTGCCCATATTTTCATGGGATCAGCTCACTAGCAACAGTTTAGTTTGATAGAATTGTCAAACATCACTACATCCATGTAGGTGATTTTCCAGTGAAATCAAACTATTACAAATAGGAAGGACCTGGTATGATGGTTTATTTGTGTTTTAATCTAAGTATCAAAGTGATTCATACTTGGAAAATCACCTTGCGTCAATTGGGAGATTAATTTGCTCCTTCAACCAAAAAAAAAAAAAAAAGAGGAAAGCTATATATGGGCTTTAACATCATAAAACCAGTTTGATTGACCCGTTATAAGCTTGCTAGTTGCCATATGTAATCCTTTTTAACTTGGGTTGAAGGTGGTCTAAGACCATATGTGTGTGTATTTGAGGATTTGTTGAGGAAGGCTATGTTGACGTACTTGTATAGTCGAATCTCACAAGTTTTGTTAAGGTAGTCCCCAAGCCATTTTGACCCCAATACACGGCGATCCCACCGGCTTGAGAGGCTTCAATCATGGCAAGGACAAGGAGAGGAGAATAGGTATGACTGGTGTTGTAGTTGCCCATTGTTGCAATTGTTGCGTCTTGTCTGGTAATTGTGATTCTACAATGCCAAGCAACCGGTCCCTTGTATAGATTTGGAAGAGGACCCAGCTGAGAGTTTTATTTGTTTATTTATTTATTTATTTTAAGGTTAATATTATGAATAAATTTTAAATTATAGTAAAATATTCAATATGATATTTGAATTTTAAAAATCTTTAATATAATATTTTTATTATAAATTTATTAATTAATATAATATTCATTTTTAAAGTGATAGCTTCAATTGATGACATTGGGTAGAAATTCAATTCTCAAAGTATATCATTAGTTCACATTATAAAATATTATATTAAAAAATTTTAAAGTTTAGATATCATGTTAAATATTTTATTATAATTTAAAAATCATTTATGATATTAAGGGGGTCGAGAGTTACGCTAAAATTTGAGGAAATTAGGTCGAATGAAGGGCATGCAGGATACAGGCAGGTGGCAACATTTTCAACCTTATAAAACCCTTCTGTTCCCGGTAAACTAGGAAGATTTGGTTTAGGGTTTACCTTTTTTTTTTTTTTCATCCGACCCTTGCAGACAGTGAATACATTATCATTAATTAGAAAATGTGCATTAATTAGAAACTGTGGAATTGTCGAAAGAGTAGTCCTGCAACCGCAAACATTTGCAAAGCCTCCTACCTCCTATGTCTCCCAACTCCCCCAGATTCATCCAACACCAACAACGCCCATTTGATTTTCAAAAACAAACCAACCGACATTGAATGTCTATCAAATTTTTATCAAGTTGTGATAGAATATTAATCTTTCTACCATTTTAGAAATTCGTGAATAAAATAAAATTTCAAGCATCTAAGTTTATTTGTAGAATAGATATGGTGATTTTGAATTAAAGCATATTCCCCGGAGGGCTTGAGTAATTTAGTGCCATTGACCTATATATGCAATTTCATAAACTATATATCTCAATCTCATAGTATCCATCCTATAATATAAAAATTACTATCAATTAATACGATAAGATATGAGATTAAAGTTGTCCTTTTCAATTCTAATGCAAACATTAGGTTAATTTAGGGTTTAATATTGTGCCATTTGTCTTTTTAAGTTTATGTTTTGTCAATTTAAGACTTAATATTATAGGTGTTGGATTTAAATTTCAAAAATATTAGATGTTATTTTTTAAAAAAATTATATGAATTGAATTAAGCTAAGTTCACATTATTAGTTATTAATTGTTCAATGGAAATATGCTCTCATCATAGGCACTGAGGGGGTTTTTTCTATCTCCTTTTCTTTTTTTAATTAGCAAGCAACAAAGAATCATATAAAAAGCAGACTATATCCCGTTTTTGTTGTGATGTCATTTATAAAAAAAATTACTATAAGAATTCTCTAATAAAACTTGCTTTCTAATGTTAGATGAACAATATATATGAGCATATAGCATCCTCGGGGCTCAGAGCAAGAAAAATTATTGCATTACAATGGGTTAAAATATCGATATGAACTTTGTGAGTCATTACATTTTACATTTAAAAAAAGAAGAAGTCTTCTTCCATTCTATATGGTCGAGCATATACAAATATAATACGATGCCAACCACCAATTTTTGGAGGTTTTTGATTTCACGAATAGTTTGCTATAAATAGGGATATCCATTTTATACATATTTAACGGAGAATTTAACTTTTTACTCGAATAGAGATGTTGATGAATATTATTACTTTATGGAGATAAGGATGGAGATGTGGATGAGTATAATTTAATTTTTTATTAGATACGAAAATGTGGATTGGTAATATAATATTTATCCCATACTCATACTTTTTATATATATTTAGTAAATAAAGTTTTTATTAAATAATATAAATTATTGTTTTAGATTAATTAAAATTAATATATTTTTATTGAAAAAATATATATTAATATATATTTATAAAAAATTATTTAAATATACAAGATAAAAATAAAAAAATAAAAAAAATAAATTTTAGTTTTTATTTTTTAGAAGTTATAGATGTGAAAATTACTTATACCCATTAAATATTTTTAAGAATAGAGATGAAGATAAATTTAAAATATATGTTAGGTATTGATATGAGATAAATATAATATAAAAATCTAAAAACAGAAATGGGAATGAAGAGTACTCTATTCTCTTAATACCTTACCCATTAACATCTGTAGCTATAAATGACTTTTTTTTTTTGGCTGGGAACATTATATTGGCAAGGTCAAGCTCACTGTATTCAACAAAATTTGCTGCCCCATTAAGCATGGCGTCGAGTAAAGCGGAACGTGGAATTGATACAAGCCCTAAATTTATTGTATTTTTCTCTTTATTTGAATAATACCGGAGACATTATCACATTTACTAGAACTAGCTTAGGACTCTTCCAGATCTACGTGATTTTTTATTAATTTCCTTGATCGACTGATCCAGTAGTACCCAAGGCACATTGGGTGAAGGTTTAAGTGAAGTTTAAGCTTGTGAGAATATATACTACCGCACCCAAATCCATTTAAGATGTTCAGAACTTTACTAAGCAACTATAAAACAATTCTATTTTCCTCAGAAATTTCAACATTATGAATAGAAACTCACATTCAAACTTCTCCACTTGACAATAATTAGTAATTAATTAAAAGGTACGTATCATCTAGTTAATTGGATGGCATGAAACCAAAGCCTGTTGAAAAGATCTTAACGTGAGAGTGAAGTCAGTCATTAAAGATTTTCATCAAGAGAAAAACAAAATACCAATTAGTCTTCAAGTTTATCTGTGTACATATATAATACTATTAAATTGAAACGATAAAGGTCAGTGAATCGCCATAAATGGATCTTCGTTCATATTTTAATGTGACTACCTTTTGCTTGGGCTCTCCCTGAATTCTATACAAGCGACCTTTCCACTGGCAATGAGGAACCACAGACAAAACTCAGTTTCAACAATGGCCACAAAAATACAAGCCATATCTTTTCTCGTTCCGTCCTAGTCCTAGTCCTAGCCCTGATTGGGGTCTCCCATGCTAGTGGGATCGCAATTTATTGGGGTCAAAGCGGCTCCGAGACAACCTTAAACGAAACTTGTAACTCTGGATTATACAAATTCGTAAACATTGCCTTCCTCAACGAATTCGGCAGCGGCCGAACCCCAGTGCTCAACCTTGCAGGCCACTGCAATCCAGCAAATGCTGGTTGCAGTGTTGTAAGTTCAGCCATAAGAAACTGCCAAGAGAAAGGCATCAAGGTGATGCTTTCCATCGGTGGTGGCGTTGGACAGTACTCGCTGGCTTCTAAAGACGATGCCAAGGAGTTAGCCGCTTATTTATACAACAACTTCTTGGGTGGAACATCAGCTTCGCGGCCATTAGGAAGTGCCGTGTTGGATGGTATCGACTTTGACATAGAGCTTGGCTCCACTAATTATTGGGACGATCTTGCACGCTACTTGGCCGCATATAGCAAGCCAGGAAAAAAGGTTTACCTATCGGCAGCTCCTCAGTGTCCGTTCCCTGACAGATTCTTGGGGGCTGCCCTTAGAACTAGGCTTTTCGATTATGTTTGGGTTCAGTTTTATAACAATCCCGCGTGCGAATACAGTCCTGGAAACACAAGCAATATTTTAGCTTCATGGAAACGGTGGGCTGAAACAAGGCGAATAAAAAAGTTGTTTTTAGGGTTACCGGCAGCCAAGGCGGCAGCTGGAAGTGGGTACATTCCACCTGAAGTGCTAATCTCTCAAATCCTTCCAGAGATCAATAAATCACGAAAGTATGGAGGTGTTATGTTGTGGAACAGGTACTATGACAGGGTCAATGGCTATAGTGCTGCCATTGAGACGAAGGTATAAACTATATATGAATATGAATAGCAAAGCAACCTTGCCAGGCTTAGTAGCCTAATGAGTCCATATATCCGAATTAGTGGGGCAAATTATGTGTTGAATGAATAAGTTTTTTTTTTTTTTTTTGGTTTACGAATGTGTTAATTATGCGGCAGTCAGTCTAGTAGTCTGTTGTAGCAGTACTAAAAGATAGTAATAAAACATGTGTCTTTGCAAATTGGATGCATCTCATCATTTCATGATAGTTTCTGATTTGATTAAGCTGTGTATTTACTATTAGGGACGGCAATCAAGTCCGTCCCCGACGGGTTTCGATCCGATCCGACCTTATATGATCGGGTTTTATTTTTTAAATTTTGGATTTCGGGTCGGGGTTGGGTCGGATAAAATTAGGTAATAATCGGGGTTGAGTCGGGTTCGGGTATACCTAAAACCCGACCCTACCCGACCCGACATTATTAAAAAATTATTTTTTAATTAATTAATTAATTATTTATTTATATAATGATATTTTAAAATATTTATATTTAAAAAATAATATTTTATATTTTAAAAAATAATATTTTATTAATTTCGGATCGAAACGGATCGGGTACGATTTACATATTGTCAGATCGGATCGGGTTCGAATATTAAAAAAATTCGAGTCGAATCGAAGTCGGATTTGATAAAGCATAAAATCAGGTCGGGTTCGCACAAGCAAAACTCACTCCGAACCCGACCCGCCATCCCTATTTACTATATATTTACATTTAGTTTCAAACTTGAAAAAAAAAAAAACCTCCGTAAAGCAAGCAACGTACAATACTTTAATATCAAGCGGCAGGGATAAAGGGTCAATGGAAATAAATATTTCCTACACATTTTTTTTATTTATTGCAAATATATAAAAGAGATAATGTTATGAATGATCTCTTAACTATAAAAAAATATTAAATGTGATATATAAATTTTAAAAAATTTTAGTGTGTTATTTAAATATTGAATTTATTAATTAATATGATATTTAGAGAACTATTTATTTATCTGTCACATGTTATTATTTGAAACTAATCATATTAAGGTGAATATTACATTAACATATTTATAGTTCAAATATTACATTAAATTTTTTTTTAAAATTTAAATATTATATTAAATATTTTATTATAGTTTATAAATTATTTATAACATTAAGCTTGTAAAATAAAATTAATCATGATCAACGCATAGAGTAAAATTCGAAATTCCCCTACCACATATAGATTATGTATTAATTAATTAGTTAAGCTATATATAATAAAGA